AAATCGCAGGCTTTGCGATTTGAGAATCACATCATTTAAAATCGCGATTTCGATTTAAAATCGATTAATGATATCATCAATGCCCTTGACTCCAGACAATACTGTGCTGCCATTTTCATCGATCTTGCCAAAGCCTTCGACACTGTAGATCACCAACTGCTTCTGGGAAAGCTTAGATGCATTGGTGTCACTAACCAATCGATAGCCTGGTTTGAAAGCTACCTGTCCATGCGCACCCAGTGTGTAAAATCTGACAATCTGATGACACAGCCCCTATCCATCTCTAAGGGAGTACCACAAGGCTCTATCCTAGCACCCATCTTATTCTCAATATATATAAATGACATGGAGAAATCAGTGGGCAACTCCTCTATCCACCTATATGCCGATGACACGATTCTGTACACTGCTGGCCCTTCCCCAGATACTGTCCTGAAAACTCTTCAGGATAGTTTTCAGAGAATCCAGTCACATCTCTCTGCCCTTGGCCTGGTCCTGAACACCACTAAAACCAAGATCATGTGGCTTGGCCGCAGTGGTGCCTCCCAAACTGGCACTATTGTGACCGCCGATGGCCGGGACCTCGAAATGGTTAAAGGTAGGGTAGGTGCACAAACTTATCTCGTGCCCTCATTGGTCATGTGCACGTTCGTGTGTGTTGGAGGAGGGGCTCTATAAGGAAGTGGCAGATTTTCTCCGGTTGTGTATTTTCAAATTCTAGCGATCTCGAGCCGGTTTCTCAAACTTACCTACCCTACCTTTAAATCTTATAAAAACTGGGATTTTGGATTGACAGTAATCTGTCATTCTCAGAAAATCTCTCCAAAATTCAGACCAAGGTTAAAGCTAGACTCGGCTTTCTATATAGGAATCGCTCCTCATTCACTTCATCTCCTAAACTCTCTCTGGTCCAGATGACTGTCCTTCCTCTGTTCGACTACGGTGATACCATCTACCGCTCGGCGTGTAAAGGAGCTCTCGATCATTTAGACGTTCTGTATCACTCCGCCATCCGCTTCGCCACCAATGCCCCCTACAGGACACATCACTGTGATCTGTATTCTCTGGCAAACTGGCAATCTCTTGAGACCAGGCGCAACATCCACTGGCTGATGTTTGTTTATAAAACACTCCTAGGCCTCACCCCCTTCTACCTCACACAATTACTGCAACCCCCGACGCACAACACCCGGTCAGCTAAAAACATCCTGCTAAAGATCCCCAAAGCCCATACATCCTTTGGCCGCTCCGCCTTTCAGTTTGCAGCAGCTGATAGCTGGAATATCATACAAAAAACCTTGAAGATGGAGACCTTTATCTCCCCCCGCACCTTCAGGGACACTATTACAAACACCCTGGTACACACATGCAACTGCTTTGCCTGATGCTCACTACCAATGTCTTGACCTCTCCTAGTATGCATTGCCATGAAGGAATTAATGGATGAATGAATGAATGAATGTTTGAATGGATGAATGTTCTATATTATTTTAATGACTGATTGAACTCCAGCAGTATTGTTTTAGAGATGTTATATGTTTAACTGCTAAGCCTGTCATCTCTGCTCTGTGTCATTGTGTTGTCTCCTGGGTTCTGTAGTGCCCAGAGTCTGTCTTTTTATTTTTTTCCTCCCAAACCCCATCCCCTCAGGAAGCCTTTTGCCTCCTGTCAGGTCATCATTGAAAATAAGAATGTGTTCTTAATTGAATTTCCTGGCTAAATAAAGGTTCTACGACTACTACTACTACTACATCTGTCCCATAAATAGAATTGTCAAGTAAATGGTGTAAGTCTAATTTCTCTCTGAAATCTTGCGGCGTAGAAGCAGTTTAAAGTATTCAGAATTGTTCTTAAGCCCAGTCTGTGAGTAAATGTGCTCAGCTACTGTTCATTATTGCTTGACACTTCACTTTGGACCAATAGACCAAACTTTTAAGCCAACAGATTGACCAACAATCCCCAACGTGGCTGAAGTTGAACCCTAACCCTAAAGGTTACACAAACCTGTACAGTGTAGAGGTGGCTCTTTCTACATTTTCACCCTTGCCCCAATAAAGCCTGTAAGCACACTATTGTAGTAGTCTGCCTTTGTGTTCTCTGTTTGCTTTATCACAGGCAATTACCATGCAAAATATATACATTTATATACTTCAGAACCAGAACAATGAAGGTTCTTACTGTAGATCCACACGTCTTAGTTCTTATCTTTAGCTGTGTACTGAGTTTTAGCTGAGTTCCAGTGATCTGGGTCAATACCCTCGAAGTCATTACTGACTGACTAAGCAGAGCCTCACAAATACAACTAAATACACCAGGCTCTAACAATGTTACGCTAATCATCAACGAAATGAACCCAATGCATGCCGATTTTTCCATCTTGAAAGTATTGTAAAGTAACTTTAATGTCCTTTTGGCAATTAATATGTGAAGATCCTAACTTTGAATAATAGATCAAATCATTTTAAATATGACTGCGGTTGTCAGTGTCACCTCGCCCTACTGTAGACAGTCTTGCCACATGGCCTTCCCTTGCATAATCTCAAATATTTTGTATTTGTATTTAAGCTACCAACGTGTAACAGAACCATGTCATGTTTGTTGTTCTCTGACACAAAACATCATGTTGAATCAGTCAAAAACAAGATCATTGCCATTGGCATGATGACTTCTGGTTTGGAACACAAAGTTCTGTAAGTAAGTTTCACTTCTTTCGGCTGCTAAACCTTAACTTGTTTTTCACTTATCATCTTGTGTAATCTTTATCTTGTGTTATTTCAAGCTTTTAATTCAGATTGACATGTATGGTATGGGTGTTAGTGTCCCAACAATTATGTATCTTGTGTAAGTGTATCTGATTATTGCAACACAGCAGCTGCAAGAGAACTATCGATTTTTAGCCGTGTGATTCCATGGATTGTTTATTTTGTTATATCAAAGGTCAAATGTTTCTCAGCAGAAAGTTAACCATCCAGTTCAGCAGTTGATATGGGAGCACCAAAAACTGAAGTTCAGGAAAGAGCCAACGCAAAATACTTCTCCGCTCATGTCTTCTGCTTTAATTCCCCACAGCTTCCAATAAATAGTTTAAAAAGTTGTTTAGAATGAGTATGATGCTTTAAACCAAAGTTTTAATGACTGAAAACCCTGGTTAACATTCAGTCATGTGATTTAAAAAAAAAAAAAAACAGTTATCAGAATCAGAATCAGAATCAGAATATAATTATCATACCAGTATATGCACTTGGCTACCAAAACATGAATAGAGTGTGGTTAAAGTATGTGTGTGATGTCATGTCAATAACAACAGAGTGAAAAGGGTCAGGGTTGGGACAAATGTAATTTCCCCTTGTGGATTTATAAAGTATTTCTTAAATCTTTAGTCTTAATCCTAAACAATTGAAAACTCTTTGCTAAGGAAAGGTAGGGAAAGCTTGTGTTCAAATATTCAAAAAGGTCAAGGAGAAAAATGAGCCATCACAATACTGCAGATAGCTGCATGTCCAAAGAAAGTTGCCATTGAACAAAAAGTAAATAAATAATTAAATTACGATGGTTTGTGTAGTTATAGTACTCAGATCCTTGACTTACTGTGATTGAAAGTATCAAACATCAATGCAAAGATACTTTTTTTAATGAGTAATATGAGCAATTATTTCCTGTGTTCAAAATCCTACTTAAGTAAAAGTACAGGAGTCTTCATAAAGTATCATACAGTATGCTGTCTTGTACCTTGGTGGTACTACAGAATATGTGTTGTGTTTCTACTTGAATCTCTTTTTATATCCAAATCTTCTATGTACATAAATGTTTTTTTCTGTCTTTGTGAAGAAGTTTGGTCCAAAACCTGTTTGTTTTTGTGTGCTGTATGCAAACATAAAAAGGGGAAACTAACATCACCCTTTTCAAAGTTAGATCTAAACATCAGAGCTAGAGATGCTATGAGATACAAGACCACAGAGATGTGATTAGCTATGATATTGTGATACAATCATGGCGTATCTGCCCCTGAGGTGTGAAAGCATTTAAAGACAATGGTGACCTGATACAGTATCTACTACAGCTGTCGAATGTGTTTGAATGGACTTCTAAGAACTCAGTTTGATTATTTTTCATTATTAACTTCTAGATGATGACCACAGTGTTATCCAATATTGTTTATAGTGCTTTATTGAACAGGGAATGGGGGCCAAGATTGTATCAAGAGACTTTAAGCCCCCTCACTGTCCCTGTTGATCCAAAGTGGCGGGACTGCAGGGCCCATTATCTAACAAACATAATAAGCTCCACTGTGCAAGTCACCACAGTAGCTGATTGGTTGGGATATTTCATTTCATTTTTATTTGTCCCCCTCATGGTACGCATAGCCAAATGTACAATAATTGCCAACAAAACATGTCTCTACACACCATTGAGCGAAAAGGAGCAGGGAGAAGAATACAATCTTATATGACCTACCTCTTTCTAAAAAAAAAAAATAAATAAATACAAATAGATGGTCTGCCCTTCATAATAAAAAAAAATGTTCACAGCCACACATAAGAGTACACCCTCATCTGAGTCCTACTGGAGAAGAAGGTGGAAAGCGGCGCCTAATAATAACAATAACAATAACAATGGGACCTGCAAATAAAGAACAGACATCACATCAAAGACATCAATAATATTCAACAATGCAGGACCAGAGTACATAGACTTATTCACATTCTGCTTCATATAGTCCCATCTTTCTTAATTTATACAATTTCTTTAACTGAAAAATACATATACAATTCTTTAGATCCTTTTGTTGAGAATTCCACAATTGTACACCATATATGATGGATATACATCAACTGATGCAGGATCCAAGATATGACCATCCGTTTAAGGTAAGGGTTCAATGGTTATGTTTACCTGAAATGACACAAGGGGCAGTGGTTTTGTGTTTGTGGGAGTGAGGGTGTTCTTACAGTGAACAGTAGCAGGATATAAAAGGCCTCCTCTCATCTTTCCCACTAACCTGTGTGTGTTTTTTGACCAGGCCTTTAACCATGAAGCACTGTGTGTTGTTGTCGCTGCTGTTGGCATTGGGATGCGTCCGCGCTGCACCGGTGGAGACTGTTGGCATCGAGGAAGGATCGTGTGAAGACGCGTCTGCGAAGGGGGCTGCAGGACTCGCCATCACTAAGATCAACCAGGACCGGCAGGAGGGCTACATCTTCGCTCTGCACCGCCTGTCCAACGTGCATATGACCAAACATGTGAGTCCATATGAAGATATAATAAGTGAGGTTAACAGAAGGTTATATTATCAGGCTGTCTTTAATGGGCAAAATTCATCAACCACTCTACATTTCTTAGTTGTAATGTAGAGACACAATCAGAAGCAACCTCTCTACATTTGGTTTTATACCAAAACAAGGCAACTCATTAACATGTACATGTTGTTGTACATGATATGGATGATGTTTTGTTTGTACAAGTTGGTATTCCATAATTGGAATCCACGAAAAAACACGAAAGTGCTTCGATGTCAAAAAGATTTGAAATGTAATAATCTAGATTTTCTTCCTAATATTTACTTTAGAAAATATGAACATTTGACATTAATATATATATATTATATCTATATAAATGTTAAATGTAGTTTTAACTTAGAAATGAATACTTTAAATAAGGTTGCAATCATGTCTGATGGCAATGGTAATAGAGTGTCTGTCTACAATTAAGTTGACAATTAAATAATGAATATACCCTGAAATAAAGAAGGTTTTTATCTCAAACTGTCTTCAAACATGTGCTAAGAGATTGCTTATTATAATTGGCAATAAAGGAAATGCTGAGGCAAGGAAAAGTCAAAAGAGATGATTAAAAGAAAATGACTAAATGGGATATTTCTTTGAAAAACAATCAATCAGTCTGCCGGAGCTCATCTGTATGGTCCCATGAATCTGATAACCTGTAGCACTGAACAAAAGACTCAGATGATAAGAATCTGTAATTTTCCTTATGTATTTATATTCATTATGAATGAGTTATGAGAGCAATTACTTTTCAGACATCAGACATTTAAGCCAGAGATAAATGATGTGTCTGCGGTGTAGTAGCAGACAGATTGATTGTGTTAAAGACATCAGGTGATACCAAAGTCATTGAATGGATACATTTGTCATGTAAGCATCGGTACCTGATAAGAACAACTTTTTTAGGGTCTTCATTTATCACCAGCCACGTGTACTATCACACAATAACCCAACCTTCTAACCACTGGAAGATCATTTGCATAATGACGTTCTGATAATGAGTTCTGTGTGTGTCTGTGTGTGTGTTACAGGGAGAGACCGGCGTGGTTTTCTACCTGACTCTGGATGTTGTGGAGACCAACTGCAGTGTTCTGAGCAGGAGCGACTGGAAGTCCTGTGAGGCTCGCCCCGACGAGGACACACCGGTCAGAAAACACTCGTTGACGCACACACTTTTACATGCACACCCCTCCCTAAACAGTGACAGTGTTGAAAGAAGTAATCTGATCCTTTACGTACAAATACTTTGGTCTTCAAATTCTCAAATACAAGCAAATGTCGTGATTACAAAATGTAACTTTAGTAAAGGTACAAAAATGTATTCAAAGTACAAAAAGTAAAAGTACTCATTCTGCACAATGGCCCATTTCAGAATAATATAAAGTACAGAACAAGTATCAGCTAAATGTAGTTAAAGTATAAAAGTAAAGCACTCATTAGGCAGAATGTATCTTTTCACTGTATTATATTATTTGTATTTTACATGTAAAAGCATTTTAGTGTTGCTGTTGGTTCATGTGGACCAAATTAGATACTGTGTACATTAGAAGTACAGTATTTATTTATTATACCGCATCAGCTTATACAGTAAGTGTTAATATGTCCACAGTAACTAGTAACTGTGAGTGTTAAAATACATGTAATGGAGTAAAAAGTATGATATTCACCTCTAAAATTAGGTGGAGTAAAAGTATAAAGTATAAATAAATGGAAATACTTAGGTAAATTGCAAATATGTAAAAAAAGTACTTAAGTACAATACTTGAGCACATGTACTTATTTACTTTCCACCACTGAAAAGGGATAACACAAGATTCCACATTTGTGCAAGTTGTGTGTACTGTTCAGCCTTGTTTTATCAGTTTTTTATTACGTCAAGACTCACATTATACTTTCCTGTTGCTCCATAAAAAGTAGTTATTATATTATGAACCTTTAAATTACTGTAATACAAAAAAAATCTCAATATGAGTCAAGTCTATTTAATGTTTGCAGTATAATCAATTATTGTTGTATTGGTCTCTGCAGGTGTATGGACATTGCAAGGTTGCCATCTTCATCAGTAAGGTGCACAGGGTGGTGCGCCTCTACAAATACCAGTGTGTCATCAGACCAGGTAAATATTTTTTACAACCGTTAAGTTCTACTTTATTTAGTTGAATCTTAATAAGTTTGCCAGATTTCTAAGCAGAAGTGAACCTATAAGCCTCAAAATGTGGTAAAATGAGCCTGATATTTTGTTCAGTGCAAAACAGTCTTTTGACATTTCGTGATTTTTCTCTCTGCTCAGTTCCTTCAGCTCGCGTGACAGAGCTATGTCCTGACTGTCCTACTCCTACGGACATGGAAGATGCTGAGATTAAGAAGACTGTGTCTCTTTCGCTGGAGAAGTTCAACAACATGAGCGGGCTGTCCAATCGCTTCGCTCTGCTCAAAATCAACCGTGCTAATGCCGGGGTACGTTTAAGACGAGGCCAAACATCCTATGTTGTAATGTTCAAAAAGTTGAATAATGCATGCATGATCCAAAATGTAATGGGTCCTTTCTTCTTGGTTTATGAATCCTGCTGAGAAACAGACATTATCTCCTTGGGGGAGGCTAAAAGCATAATCCTGTTGACACCTTGGATTTATGTCACCAATTGATTCAAATGTCCATTATTAAATTATCCTCTAATCATCCAGAGTATCAAGGTTTCCAGAGTCTGACTATATACACTAATTCCCTCTCTATCCCCATGACCGACCGCCGCTTTGAACAATCATCTTATTGTAATGCATTCGCTTGCGACTTGACCAATTTCTTTTGTTATGGGTGTGTTTGTCACCAGATGGCCATGTCGATGTATTACAATGCAGACTACACCATCCAGGAGACCACCTGCCCCAGGAGCTCTGCAGCATCTGATGACTGCCCCCTCATGGATTGCGAGTTCGCTGTGAGTCATGAAAACATTTATTTTTCAACACTATATCTTAGTCATATGGATTGTTAATTTCATTTGTTTTGTTTTAAATTAAAATAAAGTTTTCATTTTGGCATTCCTGTAATAAGTCAGGATTAATTTGAAAGATTTTAAACGCTCCAGCATGAATTCTGCTTTTTTCATGTAAATCTCTGGATCAGTACCTTTTGTGTAACAACTTATCTTTTAAAGTATAACAATTCTCTAACTTATTTATCTTGGTCTTCTCCCCTCAGCACAAAGGACACTGTAAGGCCAGCCTCTTTTATTCTCCCACTGGGGAAGCTTTGCCAAGTGCAGATTGTGAGATCTATGAGCCAGAGGTAAGATTAAGCCAGGACCAAATACAAAGTGTCACATTGATTTCATTTTATAAAGTCTTTCTGTAGCAAAAGGAAAATGCACGCATGGATTATTTGATTTAAAGGGGACCTATTATGCTCATTTTCAGGTTTATATTCTTATTTAATGTTTAAAAGGGTCTTTATTTCTATATCTGTCTGAAACCAGAGCCCAGTCTGCTCTGATTGGTACACTGACCAGCGCTGTGATGATGGGTCAACTGCTTACCTGTTAGCCTATCATGTCCGATGTGTTGGAGCACTAGTCAGCAGTAGCATGAGATTTATTACAACTGATTTTCATAGTTTTGGCATTCAATTATATAATAACATCATATTATTTAAAATTATGACTATAGCAATTATCTAGTGATAACAATTATATCATATGGACACAATGACTTAACCTACACAAATAAGATGTAAGTTGTACTGAAATGCAAATTATGCTTCACAATTTGAATCAAAATACAGCTCTGAATTCCCGTTATGAACTTAATGTTTGGTCTTTAGAAGACAAAGTTGAAGAAAATTCAGATAAAATGTGAAAAATACAGCAAAAAAACAGTATGTACTGTACAATATATGAATATAGCTTAAATTGCACCAATTGACTTACCACTTTTTCTATGTCCCTAATATTACTCATTTTATCTTTTACGTGTTCTCAAGGCTGCTGACAGAGAGAAGAAACACCACCATCTGGGCGGAGAGACCGACCACAGCCACACAGACAAACACCCACACAGCCACGACCATGACCACGCACACGCCGTCGACGACGCACACACACACGACCACGCTCACGACCACACCAAGAGCCACGACAATCACAACAAAACCAAGCAGCACACAGACAACAGCGACCACGACCACGACCACGAACACACCCACGAGCACGACCACGACCACACCAAGAGCCACGACAATCAAAACAAAACCAAGCAGCACGCAGACAACAGCGACCACCACCACACGCACGACCACGAACACGACCACGGCGGCCACAGGCACGCTCACGCCCACTCCCACGACCACGGGCACGGCCACGATCACGTGCACACTCACCACAGCAAGGCGCACAACCATAGTGACGATGTGCCCAACCAGCACCACAACTACAAGCACGCCGACAGCGAGCACACCCACGAGCACGACCACGAGGTGGCTCTGGATCACGACCACAAGCACCCCCACCTGCACGAGCACGAGCACCACCACCATCACCACGAACACGAGCACGAGAATGCATCCCACGACCACCCAGAGGGCATGGTGAAGATGATTCCCGCAGTGGACCAGCCCATGATCCTGCCTATTTTCCCCGAAGTCCCCCCTGGTGAGGTGGGAGTCACCCTGAACCTCAAGCCCGACCCCCAGATCCCCGGACAATCAGAGCCCACCATCGAGGCCCACCCCACCGCATTCTCGGCTCAGTGCGTCCCTGCAGCAGCTGGAACAACCCTGGCGGAGAAACTCTTCGCTGAGGACCCCCAGTTCAAGAGATCCGCATAAGTCGGCCCATTCATAATTAGTCGCTGTTTAACCAAACCGGTAAACATAACATTATACTGATATCAGTGTTTGGCTGCACAACATAATAAATGCTTCCACAAATAACCATCCAGTGTTTGTTTTTTGTATTGTTTAAGACCAAGTTAATCCATGTTGTGATGACTCAGTGCACCAACCCCAAGCATTGCTGTATTTCCTGTCACTGATCTCTCACTGTCAATGGCGTCAAACGAAACAGCATGAAATAATCCTAAAATGTTTTTGGCTATGTGACTAGCTGCCCATGGTGGCTATTTTGTTAATTTGCTCAAATTTACTGAAGTACATCAAAATAAGTGAAAAATAGGGCTGCCGTATAGTTCACGTGCTGGCGGCCTATTTACTGAAGTTTGCTCCCCGTGCAGAGGACTGAGGTTTGAATCCGGCCTGGGACAATTTTCTGCATGTCATCCCCTATGTCTCGCCCTTTCAACTCTTTCTCTTCAATAAAGGCACTGGTGGCCTGAAGAAAAAAATGCATTAAAATATATTTTTTAGGAGGCATTCTGATAATAACCAAGTATATGTGTGACTTAAATCATGTACAGTATGCCACATATTTAGAACTGTTAACAGTGATATTTTGTTTAACGTATGAGATAAAGTTTGAATTGTCAGTCTGAACTAAGTTGAGCTGAAGCACAACATCTATAAGAACAAGCAACATTAGATAAGCAGTGATAAAGTGCAGACCTTCAGTCAACAGTGCTCTTTTTTTAAATGTCTAAATACTGTTATACTGCATTTTGTATGTCATTGGTTGCAGATAACAAATGAAAATGAGGGCTGTATACATGGAATAGGCTATTTGGAGGATGTTGATAAACCATTCTATGAAAATTGTCTAAAATATTAAGGAATTCCAAAAAGATCATACATATTGGGTGCAGACTGGATGCTAAAGTCCTCTGAGATCCTGCTAGTAGAAAAACACAACATCAGAGACAGAAATATTTGTTAACTTTTTGTAGCTTTCACAAAACACATTAAGTAAAATGGTAAACTAAACTAGGTCACTCAGACTCAGGTTTTGACATACTGTATAGAGTGAACAGTGCTGTATGTCCTCGAGGGAGGATTAGCCCACCAGCACAGTTGATGAACACTTGATCCCAGAGGGTCAGCAGCACAGAGCGGCGATGGGAAACATCAGCGTGTAATCTAATGTAAAGCTCAGTTTATTAAAAAATAAACCAACATTAACCCACTATTACCCATGTCTATTTTCTATCACAAATCGTGGGTAGGTGTCTATCAGACACTTTATTCATCACTAACAATCTAAACCTATAAAATAAAGATTACTTTGCAATTTTGTTGGTATGTCATATATTTGTAACTGTGTACTTTAAGTGTTCTTAACGTAGAAAGAAAAAGAACAGATTTTTTACTATACCTCCATTTTGTCCGTTAATGTCTGCACCTCATCATGTGTCATCATTTACCTACTGTAGTAATGGCAGTCTGCTGATGCTAGTTAACTACAGAGGTGTAAGAAGTACTCAGATCTTATACTACAAGTCAAAGTCCTGCACTCAAAATGTTACTCAAGTAAAAGTACAAAAGTATTAGCATCAAAATATATAGAAACAGATGAGCAATACACCTGTTTTGGGTATTAAAATGTATACAATGTAATTAAAGTACTTAAATGAATAGGAACAAAAACAAGTAGAATTTCCTAATATTAGTCACATGTTTCTTTCTACTTTTATCAGTCTATTACCTCATTTACATTTTGAGCCAAGTCAAATAATATTTAAAGATCACACACTTATTGATCATAGCCAAACTGGGCAGGAGAGTAAATGATGATTAACCAAATACGAACAGTTTGTGTATTCTTCTTTCATCTTTGGATAATTGACCAGTCTTTGGCACTATGTAAATCATAACAAGTGAGACTGAAATAATCCTGTGCTGAGGCAACTTCCATTGTAGCATTACATCAGACTTGAAAAGAACATATTCAAAATGTCAGTGTGAGTGAAGCAAGTTGTTGGTCTGATAAAATATACTGTAGCACCCCCTTGTGTTTTAAGTATGAAAGTGTACCAAAAGGAAATCCCTCAATCAGTATTTCACCTGGTTTATTATCTTTATTTTCATGTACTTGTCATTGTTATATTTATGTCATGTATTCGTAAATATATCTGCTGATCAGTTGATGGTGCACTCAATGGCCAAGCAATATGCTTTCTTGGTTTCAACACAAAGACATAATGCTTACTTCTTTCTTTATCTTGAAAAGATTACCACAAACGCCTCTGTCATAATAACTCTAAGTGTCAAAGTCCTTTTCTAACATATTTTCCACCAGGACTTGTCTTTGAGCAACACTTAGTAAGCCCAACTGCTTTGCTATCCTTAAGAACTTACTGCTTTGTGGGCAAAAAGCTAAATTACATGCTGTTACATTTTATAACATCTTAACGTTGGAAGTACATGTAGGAGTGTTTAGCATGTTTTGTTCATGCTATGCAGGCTAACAAATCAGAGAGGCAAAGATCCTTAAAGGTTGTCGCCTGAGTTACTATCTCATTAAATATGGTGACATCTATTCCTCTTCCTGTAGATGTTGAATGAACTTGTTACTACAGGGGATATTACAGAACTGCCTGTACAGGCGAAACAGCAATTCCTGGGACTTTTTTTAAAATTTGGTGGATAATTGGTGGTTTGTATCTTTAACATTCAAAACAATAACATGGTATCATGCTAGGACCTCTGCAATATAACATTTTACTTCAAGCCTGAAGGGAATTTAATGATTACCTTTAACTGGTATCCTGTCATGAACTGAAGTGCAGGACAAGTGGAATTGTTTAAAATGTTGTGAAACTAAATACAACATTTAAAAAACCATACAAAGGTTGTTGATAAGTGGTGATATGAAAAGTATTCAAGTGTTTAAAGTATTCAGTAAGCAGCAGGGGCTTTTCCTTATCTGTATCCATACAGTAGGCAGAGACTATGACTCGTTGTTGATATTCAGGTCTCTTGGGCTAACGCCAAACATAAACTCTGACACCATGCCACTACTATCATGTGTGATTATGAGGTCTCTACACAAGATGATTACGCTACATTCCACTGTCAATGTGCGCACAAAACAAACTAGGCACTGCTAGCTCTTGGCCATGCTCTGATTGTATTACTACTGATGATATCGGGCAATGTGCATGTTCATCCTGGACCTTCTATTGTATGTAGCCCTAGTTCTGACCTGTGCCCTGATGTCAATCTTTGTCACAATGATCTGAGTTTCCCTGACTTCTGCTCTCGTAAAGCTTTAGGTTTTCTACATGTAAATGCTAGAAGCTTACTGCCAAACATTTACCAGATAAAAGTACTCGTTCACAGCTCAAATCCGGAGGTACTTGTCATCACTGAGTCTTGGCTGAAGAAGAATATCCCAGACTCTGACATCGGCATCGCTGGTTATAATGTGTTTAGGCAGGATAGATCATCTAAAGCTGGTGGAGTAGTTATATTCACAAAGGAACACCTCCAGTGTTCTATCGCCACTAGTAAATCTGTCCCCAAACAATTTGACCTACTTATCGTAAACATTAAACTGGCAAATAGCTGTACACTGACAGTCGCTGGCTGATATCGCCCACCCTCTGCCCCAGCATGTACCCTACCTGCTCTCAGCACCCTCCTGGCACCCCACACTGGGTGGGTGGGTGGTTGTGTGTGTGTGTGTGTGTGTGTGTGTGTGTGTGTGTGTGTGTGTGTGTGTGTGTGTGTGTGTGTGTGTGTGTGTGTGTGTGTGTGTGTGTGTGTGTGTGTGTGTGTGTGTGTGTGTGTGTGTGTGTGTGTGTGTCTGTCTGGTCATTTGTTGTTGATATGGGTATTCACACGTCACATTACCCAGGAAGCAAACAATGGAAAATGAGAAAACTCCAACGTTGCGTTTTGGGGCAACATAGACTGTGTTAGAGTTTTACTCGCTACAGGGTGTACTTTGAGGGTTTTTGACTCTGCAGACCGTTCACATACAAACCTTCATAACACACAAGGGGACGGGTAATAACCTGAAAAGCATGACATGGGCCCGCAGGCTTTGTGATTTGAGAATCACATAATTTAAAATCGCGATTTCGATTTAAAATCGATTAATGATATCATCAATGCCCTTGACTCCAGACAATACTGTGCTGCCATTTTCATCGATCTTGCCAAAGCCTTTGACACTGTAGATCACCAACTGCTTCTGGGAAAGCTTAGATGCATTGGTGTCACTAACCAATTGATAGCCTGGTTTGAAAGCTACCTGTCCATGCGCACCCAGTGTGTAAAATCTGACAATCTGATAACACAGCCCCTATCCATCTCTAAGGGAGTACCACAAGGCTCTATCCTAGCACCCATCTTATTCTCAATATATATAAATTACATGGAGAAATCAGTGGGCAACTCCTCTATCCACCTATATGCCGATGACACGATTCTGTACACTGCTGGCCCTTCCCCAGATACTGTCCTGAAAACTCTTCAGGATAGTTTTCAGAGAATCCAGTCACATCTCTCTGCCCTTGGCCTGGTCCTGAACACCACTAAAACCAAGATCATGTGGCTTGGCCGCAGTGGTGCCTCCCAAACTGGCACTATTGTGACCGCCAATGGCCGGGACCTCGAAATAGTTAAAGGTAGGGTAGGTAAGTTTGAGAAACCGGCTCGAGATACACTTTTTGTTATATTCCATGGAATGCTCTTAACATCCCGATAGCAATGAATATCTTAAGTGCTTTGACAAAAAATCCATAAAAAAATGTAATCTGTGGAAGCCGTAATACTGTAAATATTACGACCAATCATTTTAGCCGGCCCGGCTAAAATAACTGGATGGCCTACCTGCCTGTCAGCCTTCCATCGGGGCACAAACTTATCTCGTGCCCTCATTGGTCATGTGCGCGTTCGTGTGTGTTGGAGGAGGGGCTCTATAAGGAAGTGGCAGATTTTCTCCGGTTGTGTATTTTCAAATTCTAGCGATCTCGAGCCGGTTTCTCAAACGTACCTACCCTACCTTTAAATCTTATAAAAACTGGTATTTTGGATTGACAGTAATCTGTCATTCTCAGAACATCTCTCCAAAATTCAGACCAAGGTTAAAGCTAGACTCGGCTTTCTATATAGGAATCGCTCCTCATTCACTTCATCTCCTAAACTCTCTCTGGTCCAGATGACTGTCCTTCCTCTGTTCGACTACGGTGATACAAATCTACCGCTCGGCGTGTAAAGGGGCTCTCGATCATTTAGCCGTTCTGTATCACTCCGCCATCCGCTTCGCCACCAATGCCCCCTACAGGACACATCACTGTGATCTGTACTCTCTGGCAAACTGGCAATCTCTTGAGACCAGGCGCAACATCCACTGGCTGATGTTTGTTTATAAAACACTCCTAGGCCTCACCCCCTTCTACCTCACACAATTACTGCAACCCCCGACGCACAACACCCGGTCAGCTAAAAACATCCTGCTAAAGATCCCCAAAGCCCATACATCCTTTGGCCGCTCCGCCTTTCAGTTTGCAGCAGCTGATAGCTGGAATATCATACAAAAAACCTTGAAGATGGAGACCTTTATCTCCCCCCGCACCTTCAGGGACACTATTACAAACACCCTGGTACACACATGCAACTGCTTTGCCTGATGCTCACTACCAATGTCTTGACCTCTCCTAGTATGCATTGCCATGAAGGAATGAATGGATGAATGAATGAATGTTTGAATGGATGAATGTTCTATATTATTTTAATGACTGATTGAACTCTAGCAGTATTGTTTTAGAGATGTTATATGTTTAACTGCTAAGCCTGTCATCTCTGCTCTGTGTCATTGTGTTGTCTCCTGGGTTCTGTAGTGCCCAGAGTCTGTCTTTTTATTTTCTTCCTCCCAACCCCCATCCCCTCAGGAAGCCTTTTGCCTCCTGTCAGGTCATCATTGAAAATAAGAATGTGTTCTTAATTGAATTTCCTGGCTAAATAAAGGTTCTACTACTACTACTACTACTACATCTGTCCCATAAATAGAATTGTCAAGTAAATGGTGTAAGTCTAATTTCTCTCTGAAATCTTGCGGCGTAGAAGCAGTTTAAAGTATTCAGAATTGTTCTTAAGCCCACTCTGTGAGTAAATGTGCTCAGCTACTGTTCATTATTGCTTGACACTTCACTTTGGACCAATAGACCAAACTTTTGGTCAATCCCCAACGTGGCTGAAGTTGAACCCTAACCCTAAAGGTTACACAAACCTGTACAGTGTAGAGGTGGCTCTTTCTAGCTACCAACGTGTAACAGAACCATGTCATGTTTGTTGTTCTCTGACACAAAACATCATGTTGAATCAGTCAAAAACAAGATCATTGCCATTGGCATGATGACTTCTGGTTTGGAACACAAAGTTCTGTAAGTAAGTTTCACAGTTTGATTATTTTTCATTATTAACTTCTAGATGATGACCACAGTGTTATCCAATCTTGTTTATAGTTCTTTATTGAACAAGGAATGGGGGCCAAGATTGTATCAAGAGACTTTAAGCCCCCTCACTGTCCCTGTTGATCCAAAGTGGCGGGACTGCAGGGCCCATTATCTAACAAACATGATAAGCTCCACTGTGCAAGTCACCACAGTAGCTGATTGGTTGGGATATTTCATTTCATTTCATTTCATTTCATTTCATTTTTATTTGTCCTGCTCATGGTACGCATAGCCAAATGTACAATAATTGCCAACAAAACATGTCTCTACACACCATTGAGCGAAAAGGAGCAGGGAGAAGAATAAAATCTTATATGACCTGCCCCTTTCTAAAAAAAACAAAATAAATACAAATAGATGGTCTGCCCTTCATAATAATTTTTTTTTTCACAGCCACACATAAGAGTACACCCTCATCAGAGTCCTACTGGAGAAGAAGGTGGAAAGCGGCGCCTAATAATAATAATAATAATAATAATAATAATAATAACAATAACAATAACAATGGGACCTGCAAATAAAGAACAGACATCACATCAAAGACATCAAAAATATTCAACAATGCAGGACCAGAGTACATAGACTTATTCACATTCTGCTTCATATAGTCCCATCTTTCTTAATTTATACAATTTCTTTAACTGAAAAATACATATACAATTCTTTAGATCCTTTTGTTGAGAATTCCACAATTGTACACCATATATGATGGATATACATCAACTGATGCAGGATCCAAGATATGACCATCCGTTTAAGGTAAGGGTTCAATGGTTATGTTTACCTGAAATGACACAAGGGGCAGTGGTTTTGTGTTTGTGGGAGTGAGGGTGTTCTTACAGTGAACAGTAGCAGGATATAAAAGGCCTCCTCTCATCTTTCCCACTAACCTGTGCGTGTTTTTTGACCAGGCCTTTAACCATGAAGCACTGTGTGTTGTTGTCGCTGCTGTTGGCGTTGGGATGCGTCCGCGCTGCACCGGTGGAGACTGTTGGCATCGAGGAAGGATCGTGTGAAGACGCGTCTGCGAAGGGGGCTGCAGGACTCACCATCACTAAGATCAACCAGGACCGGCAGGAGGGCTACATCGTCGCTCTGCACCGCCTGTCCAACGTGCATATGACCAAACATGTGAGTCCATATGAAGATATAATAAGCGAGGTTAACAGAAGGTTATATTATCAGGCTGTCTTTAATGGGCAAAATTCATCAACCACTCTACATTTCTTAGTTGTAATGTAGAGACCATGGGCGTAGGAAGCATCCTGAATGTGGGGGGGACATTTTTAACTGGGGTGTGGGGGCGAAAAAAAATATAGATTTCCTGTATTCTGGTGCATTTTAACAGGTGGTTTGATACTTTTATGTGGCTATACTAGCATGAGGAAAATGATGGGTACATTTTGTAATTTCATCCAGTAGTAAAGAAAGGAAACATATTTGATTATGAATTCAGAGCTGTCTTTGAATGAATAAAAAGCAGTTTAAATGCCCATTTTTTGTACATTTATATACAACAATAAATATTTGTGAGTGCATTGAGAGAAATTGTTGTGGAGAGTCATTTATATATAAATCGCAAAATACATTTGTGAATCCTTCTGTGAGCATTTATTAATATTGAGACTGATCTGACTCCATACGGATGTTAAGTTCACCTAGGAATGGTATCATTGACTTAAATGTTCAAATAAATGTTGCTCTTCTGTCTATATTGGTCAGATGATGCCCCTTGACTGAAATGTTTCCTGTTCAATATCCCCACTGATTTCCTTAAAATCCTGGGATGAGAGTCCACATCACAATTTACTCTCAACTGTCATTTCCCTTTCATCACTCACCTCAGCAATGGACCTCTCTCCACTGTCCCTGCATTCTGCCTCTGACTCACTCTCAAGTGCCTAGATGTCAAGAGAGGTGGTGAAGTGATAATTATTTATTGAGCAGTATACTCTTTCACATTGAATCACAACAAGTCATAATGAATGTAAATACAACTGACTCTAAAGTAAGTCCCAGTCTGTGACATTGGACATTTTGAAGACTCAAAGTCCCAAGCAGTAGGTAGAATATTAGCTAGTCTATGTAATGTGCACAGAAAATAAATAGTTAACTGAATACTGGGATGGAAATAGCCTATAAGCACTCAGTAAAACATAAACACACACAAAAAGCTTCTGAATGATAAGAAGTATAATAAAAACATAATGCACATTACCATTTTGAGAGAGAGTACCTAAGTTAAAGAACCCAGAAAAGAATCTCTTATCGAACTGAGGCTCCAGTAAAACACACTGACTGCGTCTGACATCAGTAAGCCGTTTATGAGTATTATCCCGGTTATGATCATATTGGGGATATGGTGTTTACATGAGCACAGAGAGATCGGGTTATTCATGTTCCCTGTTTACATGATAAATACTAGTAACCTGGCATTTCGATGCCTTTTCTCATCTAAACTATTCAGTATTTGTATCTCTCTATCATGACATAAAGACGAAACTCCTCTCCAGAAGTGAGACGCCGCCATCACTGTTAACTGATTAACTGCTACCAGCTGATGACTTACTTTCCTCTTCTTTGAATTTTTTTTTCTTATGTCCATGTTGTCTGGGGGAGAAAACATATCAAACCAAGAGATCGTCAGCTTTGATTTTCGCTGTATTAACCATTTCCTGAACATTTGGTGTGTGTGCCTTACCTCCGCTACCGGCATCGCTTCATACAACAGATCTGAGCTGTCCAACTATGACAACACTCCTTGAACATGCGCGCGCTATGTGAGAATCTGCCTTGGTACAAAGTAGCAGTGAAAACATGGTACGGAGTTTCATTGATTTGGGCATTCTCTCAATAAGCAAGTGGAATGGATTTAATTTGATAGTGAAGCACTGACACAGCGCTCTACAAAGTGTGGCGAGTGGATAGACCGATTCACGGACTTTCCGCATAGTAAACGTGGGGGGGTCTAAACTAATCATTTGAAAAAGTGGGGGGGACTTGTCCCACCCTCATATAATGGCTGCGACGCCCATGGTAGAGACACAATCAGAAGCAACCTCTCTACATTTGGTTTTATACCAAAACAAGGCAACTCATTAACATGTACATGTTGTTGTACATGATATGGATGATGTTTTGTTTGTACAAGTTGGTATTCCATAATTGGAATCCACGAAAAAACACGAAAGTGCTTCGATGTCAAAAAGATTTGAAATGAAATAATCTAGATTTTCTTCCTAATATTTACTTTAGAAAATATGAACATTTGACATTAATATATATATATTATATCTATATAAATGTTAAATGTAGTTTTAACTTAGAAATGAATACTTTAAATAAGGTTGCAATCATGTCTGATGGCAATGGTAATAGAGTGTCTGTCTACAATTAAGTTGACAATTAAATAATGAATATACCCTGAAATAAAGAAGGTTTTTATCTCAAACTGTCTTCAAACATGTGCTAAGAGATTGCTTATTATAATTGGCAATAAAGGAAATGCTGAGGCAAGGAAAAGGATGATTAAAAGAAAATGACTAAATGGGATATTTCTTTGAAAAACAATCAATCAGTCTGCCAGAGCTCATCTGTATGGTCCCATAAATCTGATAACCTCTAGCACTTAACAAAAGACTCAGATGATAAGAATCTGTAATTTCCTTATGTATTTATATTCATTATGAATGAGTTATGAGAGCAATTACTTTTCAGACATCAGACATTTAAGCCAGAGATAAATGATGTGTCTGCGGTGTAGTAGCAGACAGATTGATTGTGTTAAAGACATCAGGTGATACCAAAGTCATTGGATGGATACATTTGTCATGTAAGCATCGGTACCTGATAAGAACAACTTTTTTTAGGGTCTTCATTTATCACCAGCCACGTGTACTATCACACAATAACCCAACCTTCTAACCACTGGAAGATCATTTGCATAATGACGTTCTGATAATGAGTTCTGTGTGTGTCTGTGTGTGTGTTACAGGGAGAGACCGGCGTGGTTTTCTACCTGACTCTGGATGTTGTGGAGACCAACTGCAGTGTTCTGAGCAGGAGCGACTGGAAGTCCTGTGAGGCTCGCCCCGACGAGGACACACCGGTCAGAAAACACTCGTTGACGCACACACTTTTACATGCACACCCCTCCCTAAACAGTGACAGTGTTGAAAGAAGTAATCTGATCCTTTACGTACAAATACTTTGGTCTTCAAATTCTCAAATACAAGCAAATGTCGTGATTACAAAATGTAACTTTAGTAAAGGTACAAAAATGTATTCAAAGTACAAAAAGTAAAAGTACTCAGTCTGCACAATGGCCCATTTCAGAATAATATAAAGTACAGAACAAGTATCAGCTAAATGTAGTTAAAGTATAAAAGTAAAGCACTCATTAGGCAGAATGTATCTTTTCACTGTATTATATTATTTGTATTTTACATGTAAAAGCATTTTAGTGTTGCTGTTGGTTCATGTGGACCAAATTAGATACTGTGTACATTAGAAGTACAGTATTTATTTATTATACCGCATCAGCTTATACAGTAAGTGTTAATATGTCCACAGTAACTAGTAACTGTGAGTGTTAAAATACATGTAATGGAGTAAAAAGTATGATATTCACCTCTAAAATTAGGTGGAGTAAAAGTATAAAGTAGAAATAAATGGAAATACTTAGGTAAATTGCAAATATGTAAAAAAAGTACTTAAGTACAATACTTGAGCACATGTACTTATTTACTTTCCACCACTGAAAAGGGATAACACAAAATTCCACATTTGTGCAAGTTGTGTGTACTGTTCAGCCTTGTTTTATCAGTTTTTTATTACGTCAAGACTCACATTATACTTTCCTGTTGCTCCATAAAAAGTAGTTATTATATTATGAACCTTTAATCTGTTAAGCCCTGAGCCTGTTTTTCAGGTCTCAGGCTCGAAAATGACATTCCCAGAACATGATCGTGATTTTTCTCTCTGCTCAGTTCCTTCAGCTCGCGTGACAGAGCTATGTCCTGACTGTCCTACTCCTACGGACATGGAAGATGCTGAGATTAAGAAGACTGTGTCTCTTTCGCTGGAGAAGTTCAACAACATGAGCGGGCTGTCCAATCGCTTCGCTCTGCTCAAAATCAACCGTGCTAATGCCGGGGTACGTTTAAGACGAGGCCAAACGTCCTATGTTGTAATGTTCAAAAAGTTGAATAATGCATGCATGATCCAAAATGTAATGGGTCCTTTCTTCTTGGTTTATGAATCCTGCTGAGAAACAGACATTATCTCCTTGGGGGAGGCTAAAAGCATAATCCTGTTGACACCTTGGATTTATGTCACCAATTGATTCAAATTTCCATTATTAAATTATCCTCTAATCATCCAGAGTATCAAGGTTTCCAGAGTCTGACTATATACACTAATTCCCTCTCTATCTCCATGACCGACCGCCGCTTTGAACAATCATCTTATTGTAATGCATTCGCTTGCGACTTGACCAATTTCTTTTGTTATGGGTGTGTTTGTCACCAGATGGCCATGTCGATGTATTACAATGCAGACTACACCATCCAGGAGACCACCTGCCCCAGGAGCTCTGCAGCATCTGATGAATGCCCCCTCATGGATTGCGAGTTCGCTGTGAGTCATGAAAACATTTATTTTTCAACACTATATCTTAGTCATATGGATTGTTTATTTCATTTGTTTTGTTTTAAATTAAAATAAAGTTTTCATTTTGGCATTCCTGTAATAAATCAGGATTAATTGGAAAGATTTTAAACGCTCCAGCATGAATTCTGCTTTTTTCATGTAAATCTCTGAGGATAAAATACCCCCATCACCCCAGCCACAAACTGTTCTGTCTGCTGCCGTCTGGCAGGTGGTACCGCAGCATCCGGACTAAAACCACCAGAGACAGGGACAGTTTCATCCCACAGGCCATAAGACTATTAAACACCTGAACTTAGAAACAACATCCATAACATTCATCTGGCTGCTACTTAGAAATTATTTATCTAATATATCATATTCCAATCACTTGTATATAGACTCTTATTGCACTATTTCACTTTTTTACTATTTTTCTTTTTGTATTTACTTGCACTATTTTTTCTGTGTATCTCTTTTATTGTGTTGCACTGTTGGAGGAGCCTGTGACCTAAGGGGGGGGGGGGGGGGGTAGGACACGTTCAAAGCACATGGTGTAGTCCCATAGCTGAGGATTCTGGGTAGTGTAGTGTCCTCTGCCATCCAAACACTCCGAAAAAATATTTGTTTCTCCGAATCGAAAGGGGAAAATACAAAAGCATTGTACATAATTTAAACCAATCAATGTTGTGTAATTAACAAGGATAATCTGGTGTTTTTGAGTTGATGAGTAGTGCAGATATCACTGTAAATAAAATCAATCGACAGTAAGGAGAATACTTACTTCCGGGTGTAAAATCCTCCATTATCCAATGGGAATGGACGCTCACATTGCTCTTTGGGTCCGTAATACAATAAATGGGACATCAAATAGGAATATAATTATCTTTGAAATAACGTTAACTAAAGGGAACAATCTATTTGACACAGCTGAAGCTCTGGCCTTCCTTAAAAACTAACTAATTTAATAAACACACAATGCACTGTTTTTTGAGAACAAAAATTGGTAAATAATGCACCATAATACATTTTGACGAAAAATAAAAATTATTATGAATACAAATAAAATAAAAGAAGCCTCCCGTGAGTTCATTGTGAAGCTGGTTAAAGCAGAATGTCTAAAATAAGGAGCTTATTTTTGTCATTTATGAACAAAGGAAAGCTGGTTAAATGATTCCATAGCTTAAATAAAGTACATTTTTAAGTCATTCAACTATGAACAATTAAATATATTTCAAGGTATACTATATATTTATTCATATAGTTAGTATTTGCTATCATTGATGATGACAACATGGATGACAGTTAAGACACACACAGACACACTATAGCTCAGTTATATTTTTAATCAAAAAACTATTGAACACTGAAGTAACTATGATTGAATTGACTACAAATATGGCAATGGTGGTAAAGACTACAACAGCCATAATCCATTCTTTGTTTCAGGGACCTCTGCACCTGGCCCTTTCATGTGTGATATATTCATAACATGTCTGCATAGCAAGCAGTTGACATTCAAATGTTAATATTATATATTTCGATTGGAGGGCAATTACAAACATATTTGAAAGAAGGACAGCTGTGGTTGGTCGCTCATTTTTTTAAATTCGATATATAGTTTGGTTAAACCAGAGCCTGTCCTCTCTTTCATCTTATCTTGTCTGGGGTGAGTGATCATTCCTCTTGTGAATTCATTGTGAAGCTGGTTAAAGCAGAATGTCTAAAATAAGGAGCTTATTTTTGTCATTTATGAACAAAGGAAAGCTGGTTAAATGATTCCATAGCTTAAATAAAGTAATTTTTTAAGTCATTCAACTATGAACAATTAAATATATTTCAAGGTATACTATATTCAACGTTGGAAGAAGTAATCAGATCCTCTACTTTAGTACAACTCATTAGCACAATTGATAGCTAAATGTACTCCAAATATCAAAAGTAAAAGTACTCTTTATGCAGAATTCATATTTTCACAGAATGATATTATGGTAATTGTATTATCCTGTTTTTATACTGTAAATGCAAGAGCATTTAAGCATTTACAACGTGGACCAAATGTTTAATCACCATGTGTGCAAGCATTGTGTTTGCAAGGTTTAATTTTGATTTTAATTTCACAGAGTGACGACTATTGAGCAGTTCATTACTGGTGAGTGTTGGTCAAAGACAGTGTTTGTCGTAACATATACCATGACAATATGTGGAACTTTCCAGTCTTTTCTTTGCAGGGTTTAATGCTGTGTTTTCCTCACAGATTGACAGCTTTGAGCAATTCTCTACCGGTGAGTTGTGGTCCAAGACACTGTCAGTAGCATAAAGTATAATGAAAACAGATAGGCCCTTTATTAGTGTAAATCTAAGTGATTAGCAGCTTCTAATACAATTGATAATTTTTTTGTTTATAACTGTATTGTATGCTAAGCTATGCGATTGTATTGTACATTGTGTTAAGTAATTATATTTCCATGTCTGTGATGCTGATTAGTTTCTTCTCTGTTCTAGTTAAACAACCTACCGGCTTGACCAGCTACCCATCTACCTTCACCACCTACTCATCTACCTTCTTCACCACCTACTCATCTATCTTCACCACCTACTCATCTACCTTCTTCACCAACTACTCATTTAACTTCACCGGCTACTCATCTACCTTCAACACCCAGCTTTATCTCATGAGCAGTTACAGTAAGTACATTTTTGTTGAACAGGATGCATCAACTATTAATGGACTTGTACGCTTTTGTTGCAGTTGAAAGAAGTAATTGTGTAATTATTTGTACTATTTAAGGGGTCTGCTAATGTCTTTATTAATTAGAACAATGCCTACATACTTTCAGATGCCACGTGGTAAATCGTCCCGCCGTTCCCAGGCTGCAAAGCTACGCGTGGCTGGGAGACGTGTGGGACATCAGCAGCCTGGCAATGCCAGTTTCGCACGTAAGTAGTCGAGGATTTTGTCATTCAATTTTGTATATGTTTAGGGTGTCCATTTTGGTTGTATCATTGAAAAATGTGTTTGCAACTTGTTCCAGCCGAGCCGAAGCCATCTCCTGTTGTCCACAGAAGATCACCGCCTGCGAGGAGAGTCACTCCAAGGGTGATTGTCAAAGGAGAGGTTGCCAAATCACCGCAACTGGATCCTTCCAAGTGGACCGTTTTCGGTCAGGGCAGGAAGGTAATTGTGTGGTTGACATCTTTCAATAAGAGTGATATTCCCTGAGCAGTTTGCCTTGATAATGGTGGAAGAGTACCCATTTGATTAACACAAGCTATGCTATTTATCTTTACAGAGGAGCCAACACGATGAACCTGAGCAGTCCATTGATGCACTTAAACAAGCAGGGACTGTTCAGCAGGAGGTAGGTCAACTTTGTAGTATGCTTTGAAATCATTGGGGTATGTTTATTGCAGTTTATATGTGCATTTATTTTCCTTTTTCTAAAACAGTGTTTCTTCATTTTTATTTCACAGGAATTGGAGGAGAGTTATCTTCCACTGACACCTGTGTGGTTCAGCAGTGCAATGTTGGTTGAGATGGACAAGATTAGTCCATCCCATCTTCCTGGCCCTGATGAGTGCACACCACCGGTTCCAAAACTACAAAAGGTAATTTGTTTGTTGCTTTGTATGTTGGTTGATGCCCTATTATAAAATGTATCCTTCCTGACAAACTTTAAATGTATTACTTATACTGTCCATAAGGAGTTATTAGTGGAGGATTAATCATTTTGTTTTCCTTACGTTAGAAAGCAAAGATGGAGCTGAAGCAGAGGGCTCCTGCCTCCAAGAGGACCCTGGCAAAGCGACAGGTTGTTCTTGTTTTCTTCTTTTTTAAAGGCAATATAGGACTTGTTTAAAACTAAGAAGTTACACAAATATTGGTGGTGTTATTTATTCTCAAGTTTACTAAATTGTTTTGTTTTTTTAGGGGGAGGCAGCTCCCATGGTTGTGGAGGTGATTTTACGGCCACCTACCAGTAGAGGGACAGTTGCTGTGGAGCAGCAGGTCTGTGCTCTTTGTGTGAAGGATGTGCTTTCAGATACCCCTTTCACACCAACGCAACTCCGGTTCAAGCTCCGTGCTAGAGCTTTTCAGGTTCAGAACCGGTACTTCGGTTTAGCTCCGGCTCTTTTCACACCGCTCAGAGCCCGACTGGTGCTGCCGCTGCTGCGTCATGACGTCACAGTTTACGTCGCTGATTTTCTCCCCAACGGAGCTCACCTCACAACAACAACGGGCCGGGGACTGCGTTGCTTTTAATCATACGAAGCCAGATTAAATTAAATAACGACTTCTCCAACCTTATACTTTTCTCCAGAGTGCCGTGGTTCATTGTTTATTAATGTGTTTCAGCGGCATTTACCGACCGCTGCAGTGCTGCTGCTCTTCCACGAGTGTATTCTCCCGTTAGCTCCGGGTTAGCTCACACGGCTCTAAAGTATTCACTGTCTGACTGTCACACAAGCAGCTGATACATATCCCCAGTTCCCTTTAAGTGAATGTGTGTCAGTCTGAATTGACGCTGTTTGGCATCACAACGCTGTTATGAAAGTTTCTCTGGTATAACATGGGTGATGTTAGCATAGCAACCGAAGCTAAACTGACTACTTGCTAAGCCGTTTTCTCCAGGCACTTTTTACCGACGTATTTTTCATTATGATTCTACTTGTGATAGTCGGACATGACAACCTGTGCAGCCCATGTATTGATTCCATCCGATAGCTGCTATAATAACAAACAAAACGTCTGCCTGCTCTCCACAATGATCAATAACAGCGAACGGATGGTCAAAGTAAGGTACAAATAAACAGAATCACACGAAGCCTGGTTAGTGTTGCCTGACTTTATAAAGTGTGTTTTTTTTTAACAAGTGTGTGGTTGCGTTCTAGTCACTTTGCTCAGCACTACTGCTTGTTACAACTTTTATTTGCCGTACTCGCCTTAACTGTTAGCTCAGGTTAATCTCGCCCCCCTCCGACGTAAGCGTGACGTATGCGGTTCTTGCTTCTAGACGGACAACTTTTTGGTGCTCGAAACGAACCGGATTCCGGAGCTTAGAGGCTGCTCCGCTGCGGTGTGAACAGGAAAACCCGGTGCTTTTCAAGCACCAGCACCGAACCGGCCCCGAAACACCGTTGGTGTGAATGGGGTAAGAGTCACATTTTATTGAACCATGCTAATTTATTGACATAGTTACTTTTGCTCATTGTTAAAATAAAATAGTTTCAGTTGTTAGCCTGCATGCAGTCAACGTTGTTTCAAGTGTACACAATCAATGACAAGAAACCTCTCTTTTGAGTTCCATTCAATATGTGTGTGGGTAAGTAGAAAAACAAAAGTTAATATATAACAATAATCATTTTGTATTAGTAATTGTATATCTTTCTATTATTTAGTTAAACGTTTGTGAAACAATTTAAGACACATAGTGTTTTTAGCAGTTTTTTTATATATTAATTTTCTTCTAGGAGGAGCCATTGCCAGGGGTGGAGCCATTGCCAGGGGTGGAGCCATTGCCAGGAGTAGAGCCATTGCCAGGGGTGGAGCCATTGCCAGGAGTAGAGCCATTGCCAGGAGTGGAGCCATTGCCAGGGGTGGAGCCATTGCCCCGCGTAGAGCCATCACTGAGCTTGGAGCCATCATCCAGCAAGGAGCCATCACCCAGCGTGATAGTGGATGTTGATGATGACAACAGATGGAGAACAGGTAAGGGCTATGCTTGCATGTGTTCAGAAAAAGTGCAGTTGGCTGTTGTCGCAGGGACTGATGTGAGGTATGCATCCGTTTCTGACAATACAATATCTGTTGCATGTTCTATAGCGGCTGCGATCAAACATTTGATTGCGCCTGTGTGTTCGTGGAGCAGTACAGATATCGATGCCATACGGGTCAAAGGTTAACTCGTTTGTCTTAGGGGAAGCCCATAAAATGAATGTAAAGCCAAAGAACTTGTGCAGGTTGGTTGAGCAGACCAGTGTGTTTGGACGTAAGTGGAACGTCAATATGGGTCTGCCAGTGTACGGCGAATTGAATTTGTCTGAAGGGGAAAAGGTATTGTCGGAGAAGCTGCTTGAACACTTATCCAGGGATGGCATGTGTCTGTTTAACCTAAATTCCGCAGCCAGTGCCATTATTAAACACAATGACTGTATTGTGGTCGTTGATTGTGGCACACGTGGTGCATCTGGGTTAGCATCCAGTTTTGGCACATCTGTAGCCGTGTTCAACACATGCCCTAATGACCTGATGTTTTACATCAGGAATCTCAATAATTCATTGAATGCACAGAAGTTTAGCATTACAAGCCTTTCTGTGAAAGCAGCTCAAGTGAATTCGGAGACGGCTAGAGTCATTGATGGGGATATGGGGTGTGTCAGGGGAACATTTAGTCAGGGTGATCAACGGTTTAAATATGCAGGACTTCAGTGCATGGCTGTAAGTTTGGTAGGCATAGCAAAACACACAATTGACAGCGTGTTTACATGGCAGACCGACAACCTGGATAAAGTTGTTGTACTTGGTGACAATCTGTACACCTCCCTGCGTGACCAACAAGGTATCAGTGGAGGATACAGACTACTTTCGGTTCCAGATCTGCCCAAGGAGACCATTATCGACGGACAAAGATTTCTGTTTCAATACAGTGACTTTGTGTCTGGAGATGTGGATGTGGTTGAGGGTGATCTCATTGATGAGGGTGTGCACACCACTTTAAAATACGGACTGGAAAGGATGTGTAGTAACTATGACACATGCTTTCTGACAATGAATGGCGGTACATGTGCCATCATTGGTCAAGGTGGACACTACGCAGTGGTCGACTCCCATGCACGCAGTGCGTCTGGGATGAGCGATGGCGAGGGGCGTAGTGTTATTCTGTATTTCAGAGGCCTTGAACACGTGTTTGAATACATATGGACATTTGCAGCGTTCCTCAAGAAGTCTCAAAAACAGTTTGAGATAGCTGGTGTCCGAGTCACTCACATAGGCCCAATTGAAAGCAGTAATCTGTCTTTGGGTCCAAGAGTGACTCCCAAAACGACAGAGACTGATTTGGGTTGTAGTTCAGCTATTCAGTCCACACTTGGCTCCACCAACATTCAGATGGGTGCAAAGCATAACATTCCAAAGGGATCTTCTGAGTCTCAAAAACAGTTTGAGATCGCTGGTGTTCGAGTCACTCAAATAGGCCCAATTGAAAGCAGTAATCTGTCTTTGGGTCCAAGAGTGACTCCCAAAATGACAGAGACTGATTTGGGTTGTAGTTCAGCTATTCAGTCCACACTTGGCTGCACCAACATTCAGATGGGTGCAAAGCGTAAGATTCGTAAGGGATCTTCTGCTTGCAAAAAATTAAAAAAGAGTGATGTTACCGCAGTTAATTCAGACGTTGCTTTTGTCAAAGAAGTAAGAAGTGGACGACTGCAGTTTAATCCTCTTAGTAATCAAGTTGCACAAGCTCTTTGTGAACAGTTACATGTGCAGTCAGAGAAAGTAGATGTTGTGTCTACACAAATTGGTTTGATAGGGGCTCCATGTCTCAATGAAAAAATAGAGGGTGACGGAAACTGTTTCTTTAGAGCAGTGAGTCAAGCTGTGTGTGGTACACAAAGGCATCACACAATAATTAGGCGTGCAGAGCAATGCTGAGCCTTATGAGCGTATTTTGACCTCTTCCATGTCAGAATACCTCAGCACATCCAAAATTCGTGAGGTTGGCAGTTGGGCAACAGAATTAGAAATTCAAGCAGCAGCAGATTGTTTTGGAGTTAATATATTCACATATTGTGATCCACGCTGGCTAAAATATAGTTGCGAGAACGGGCAGTTGTCTAATCAGGGGGTTTATTTGGAAAACCGCAATGGTAACCATTATGAGACTGTTGTGTGTGTAAAACAACCTAATTTGCAGAGTTGTTATGGGTATTGCAAAGTGGACACTTCTTGTCCAAGACTGTACAATGTCAGACGGACAACTAGAGGCAAAAGGAGGGTTACGGAACAAACGCATGGTACATCGTCTGCTGGGGACACAGATTGTGTGGAAAAGAGTGATGTAAGTAAAATCACTCTTGAATTTAATCCTTTGTGCAATGAAGTGGCAAAAACCCTTTGCAAAAAGTTTAATATAGACTTTAAAAAGCAGGATGTACAGGGACCTACAGTAACTGGGTCCCTAGGTGTGGTCTGTAAGACCGAAAAAATAAAAGAGGGCGCTAATAGTTTCTTCGGAGCGGTAGCTCATGTTCTCAGTGGTTCTCAGAAGAGCTATCGAAAGATTAGAATGACTGTTGTAAAGCATATGATGAATCACGCAGAACAAACTAAAGTAGTTGGGGGATCTGCTTCAATTTCAGACTACATTGAGAAGTCTCAGATGAAGTATGTAGGACATTGTGCCACAGATGTAGAAATCCAAGGGACAGCAAATGCTCTTGGAGTGGACATTTTTATCTGCAGTGGGGAAAAATGGCTCAAATACACTTGTAATTGTGCAATGCTTTCAAAAGAAAAAATATACTTGAAACATTGTGATAAAAATCATTTTGAGCCAGTGGTTTGTATCAAACCTTACGATGAACAAAGGTGCTTTGAATTGTGTAAAGTGGGGGGTTTGTCAGAGACACGGTCTATGCGTAGCAGTGTTGATATCTGTACTGGGAAGGGTGGAGTTAAAGACAATGCAGAGAGTGTTGCAAACAGCTGGAGTCGTAGGCACTGTCGTTCAACATATTTAAAAAAGAGATACAGCTCAACAAAGAAACTGTATTATAAAAGTAACACAGTGTACCAGCAAACGATTAGGGATGCGTCCATGAAAAAGTATAGTGATGCAGATTATCAAGAGAGAGTAAGAGTCGGTCGTAGAAAAAGGTATTGTGAGGATGATGATTTCAAACACAGAGCAATTGGACACACTCAGGTTAGATACCATGAAGACCCATTGCATAATCAGATGATAAAGGATTCAAGTAAAAGAATATATAGATGTAATCCGTTGAAAGTAAAAGAATATAGGTTAAAAAAATATCATGACGATGATCTGCATAGAGAAAGGGTTATAGCATTAAGCAAACAGAACTATAGACTAAAAGTTTTACATAGAGAGAAAGTTATAGCATTTAACAAACGTAAATATAGGCAAAATAAATTGCATAGAAAGAAGGTAAAATCCATGACTTCAAAAAGGTATCATGGTAATCCAGATTATAAGAAGCGAGTAACAGCTAGCAACAAATTGAAGAGGCAACAAATGCAAAAAAAATAGAGAGGTATTTGATATTGTAATGCAGCAGTTTTTGGCCAAAGTTAAGAATGGACCCGTTTTTGTATGTAGCTGCTGCGAGAGGTTGTTATTTGAATCGCAGGCCTTGCACTGTAAAAAAGAGAAATATAAGGATCAAGAACTAGCTAATAAATGCATCAGAGACACATATTTACACACATATACTGATGACTGTGAAGTACCCTGTGTTTGGATTGAAATTGGGAGAGGGCAGTCTTGGATCTGCAGCAACTGTGATAAAAAACTTAAGAGAGGTGTGATGCCACCTGAATGTGTTCTAAATAATTTGGCAGTAGAACCCATTCCCCCAGAATTGGCTTGTTTGAACAGCATAGAGCAGCATTTAATTGCCAAAAATATACCATTTATGAAGATGGTGGCATTGCCCAAAGGTGGGCAAAATGGAGTACACGGACCGGTTACGTGTGTTCCAGCCAATATCGTCCAAACTACAAATGTGCTCCCCCGCTCAAGGATGGAATGTTCCATCTTACGAATAAAGTTAAAGCGTAAATTGACCTTCAAAGGTCATTTTAAATATCAATTTGCAGACCCAATGCACATAAAGCGTTCATTAAAATATTTAAAAAGAAGGAATAAGCACGAGTATGGTATAACGAGTTTCGTAGGGAGGAGGAAGAGAATAAACAAACCCACACCAAGGAAACATCATCAGAGGCTGCTGAGGAACAGCCATGTTTGTTTCAGGACATGGATTTGATGGCTGTGGATACTGATCTGGAAATTGCGGATCAGTTTTCAGATAGAGAACTCAACATGGCCCCAGCAGAAGGCAATAGTCCTGCAAAAGAAAGTTCATGCATTCCTGTACGGGTTCCCGAGTTTGAGGAACTTGATGACGCTCTGCTTAATGAGTTTTGGAGGGAACGGGATGATGACTTTGTAGACAATTCGACCTTGATGGATTTGCCAACTAACAAAACGTCTGATGCTAATGCTGATGATGAGCTTTTATACAACAGGCAACAGCATTGCATGTTTCAGGACACATGTCTGATGCCTGTTGATATTGGACAGGAAGTGTTGGATCAGTATTTTGATAGTACATTAAATGTCGCTCCAGCAGAGGGTAATAGTCCTGTGAGGCTGTTAGCAGACATTTCCAACGAAGCAAAATGCTTTCCTGTATTGTTCCCACTGGGCATTAACACCTACCATCATTCGAGGCCCCGCAAAATAACATTAGCACGCTATTTGAATACGCGTGTTTTAAATGCTGATGTTAGGCTTGCACAAAATATAGAATACATTTTTTATGCTCAGTATTTGTCTGAGGTGCAACAGGTATTGTCCAGTGTGTCTATTGCATTGCGAAAAGGCAAAGCAGGCTTTCCATCCAAACCGATAGAAGATAATTTGTTGAATCAGGAAACCATAAGAAAACCGTTGCAATTTGATGATGGCTTTCGTTTTCTCTCACCTATTAGAGGTACTCCAGCATTTTGGCAGCGCGCACAGAGTGACCTCCTAGCTTGTGTGCGTCAACTTGGTGTGCCTACCTGGTTTTGTTCATTCTCTTCGGCTGATCTTAGGTGGGCAAATTTACTCAACGCTATTTTAAAACAGGAAGGTAGAACACTGAAGATTTAGATTGGGCAGACAGATGTGAACTCTTGCGTCGTAATCCTGTGACAGCGGCCAGGATGTTTGACTATAGATGGAATTGTTTTTTGAAAGAAGTTCTTATGTCCCCTTCACACCCAATTGGCAAGATTGTAGATTATTTATATCGCATGGAATTTCAGCAGCGTGGCTCACCTCATGTGCATTGCTTGTTTTGGATTGAGAATGCACCCAAAATTGTCGAACAGTGTGACCTGTGCCCCGAACAGGAATTGGAAAATCTTCAATGCAAAGAAGAGCGGGAACAAATTGAAACCGTAGACGGGGAGCAAATAGACGCTATTCCTGATCTTGCCGTTAGTAATCGGCAAATTGGCCATTTGGAAAAGACAAAGAATATTTTGAGCAGAAGCGAAGGGCTGAAATTAGTTCGGTCTCTAAACGAAACACAAATGTCTATTTTCTATCAAATACGACAATGGTGTTTAGACAAAATCTCGGGTAAAAATCCGGACCCGTTTCACGTATTTATAACAGGCGGTGCTGGGACAGGAAAGAGCCATTTGATCAAGGCTCTGCAGTATGAGACAACCAGGTTGCTCTCAACACTCTGTGAAAACCCTGATTCTGTGTGTGTGTTGTTGACTGCCCCAACTGGAATTGCTGCATACAATTTAGACGCAGCAACTATCCATAACACATTTAGCATTGGCGTTAATGCAAAATTACCCTACACACCTTTAGGCGAGGAAAAAATAAATAGTCTGCGTGCCAAATATAGAAACGTGCACATTTTAATTGTCGATGAAATATCCATGGTCGATCACAAACTCATGGCATATATTCATGGCAGATTACGTCAAATTAAACAATGTAGTGATTATTCCCCATTTGGTAGAGTTAGTGTGGTAGTTGTTGGAGATTTTTTCCAGCTGCCACCAGTGAAAGGAAATGCCTTGTATGTAGAGAAAGTAGGATTTAACCTGTGGCACAACCTATTTAGCATTGTAGAGCTTAAAACAATAGTCAGGCAGAAAGATATTGTTTTTGCGGAACTGCTAAATAGGTTGAGAACACGCTCAAAAGAAACAGCATTGTCAGCTAGTGACATTGATTTGTTGAAGAGCTGTGAAACAGGGGAAGAAAGTTCAGCATTACACATTTTCCCCACAAACGCTCAGGTTAATGATCATAATCTTGTGCAACTGTTGAAAACATGCCCGGAACATGTAGAAATAGAAGCTCAGGATACTGGCCATAACAGCAAAACTGGAAAACTTGAGTTAAAACATGGACATCACACCAACATCTATCAAACATGTTTAGCGGAACGTTTGGTTCTTGGGGAAAATGCTCCTGTAATGTTGACAAAAAATATAGATGTGACGGATGGGCTTGTGAACGGGGTATGCGGCACGGTGAGACACATAGTGATTTCACAAGGTGAAAGATTTCCACAAACTGTGTACGTCCATTTTGACGATGACAGAGTTGGGGCACAGCGCAGGAAAGACTCTGCAAATGCATCAAGTGAATTAGTGAACTGTACACCAATTTTTCCAGAAGAGGATAGAGTCACCGTTAAAGGTGGGTTGCGTCGCCAATTTCCCCTTAAACTGGCTTGGGCTTGTACAGTACATAAGGTGCAAGGGATAACTGTTGATAGAGCTGTGGTGTCACTTAAAAAAAGATTTGCTGCTGGACAGGCATATGTTGCATTAAGTCGTGTTACAAATTTATCAGGCTTAATCATTCAAGATTTTAAACCTAATGCCATCTATTGTAAATGTTACGCAAGCAATTCAGTGCATACCTCAGTTTCTACGTGAAGATAGGATCCACCCCAAATTGCACACGGACAATTTTGCTGTGTTTTTGACAAATGTGCAAAGTTTGACATGTCGAAGATTTGACCCTTTGTACACAGCATTTGCAGCCTAACTGTATTGCTGTTACAGAGACATGGCTGCCTGCTGTCTCATCATTTGACGACATTAACATCAGTGGTTATACATTTGCTAGTTGTTCTCGAAGTGCATCTTACACCAGCGATAACCCAGCATTGGTTGCTCTGCAAGACCAACAACATGGTGGTGTTGGCATATATAGTGCAAACAGTATTGAATTTAGTATTGTTCAAGTGCCAGATGTAAATTTAGAATGTATAGTGTACAACTGTTTGTCTCACAACATATTAATTGCGGTAATTTATAGACCACCATCATATCCCATGTCTTTGTTTAAAGAACATTTAGGCAAATTACTAGATTTGTTAGATCTATTAGGTGACACAATTGCTGTGATGGGTGATTTCAATGATGACATTTTAAAAACATCAACAATTTGCAAATTTGTAACAGACAAAGGGTATGTGCAGCAAGTCACACAACCCACTACCGAAAAGGGCACATTAATTGACCATGTATATGTGAAAACAACACAGTATGATGTAGAATCAACTGTGTTGCCCACCTATTTCAGTGATCATGAGGGGATTCTGTGTTCTTTTGCACAACTGTTGAGGTAGAGTAACTTCAGACGTCAAGCAAATGTAGGTATAAATTCTGATTTATACCTATACCTGATTTTTTCTTCACCTTGTGTTTCATCGTGCCAAATTATGCGCTTCTACAGTCTGTGGAGATATTTTATCAGATCAAAACATCCCCCCCTGGTTTAATTTGGTATGTTTTTAGGTATCATCCCCCCCTGGTTTAATTTGGTATTTGTTTAGGTATCATCCCTCAAGTTCATCATCTTCAAAGCCACTTCCTCATTCAAAGTTATCCTCATCTATCGGCCCCCTAAACCACATCCCTCTCACTTAACTCCTCAAAACTAGTTTCATCCTCCCTACTTTTCGACCTTAACATGACTATTGAGTCACCCACCTGCGAGCTGTCATTCAAATTCTCTACTCTAATAGACAATTTTACTGTCACCCAACACTTCACCTTCACGACCCATGCCAAAAGACACATCCTCGACCTTGTGTTCTATAAAAACCTCCCAGTACCTTGGCGTAATGTTTGGCCCCACCCTTTCCCTCGATCCTATCATCTGCCAAGTAATGAAAACCACATTTTACCAGTTCTGCAAAGATCTGACCCTCTCCCTGAAATTGCAACAGTCTCATAGTTAGGAATTATTTATATATTTATTCTGTAATTCATTTTTAATTAGTCTTTAGTATGTCGGACCTGGTAGTTAATTTTTAGCGGCTTTATCTCTCTCACACACACACACAAAGTTAGGTCTTCAGTTCTTAAAATCCTCTCACTTAACTCCTCAAACTAGCTTTATCCTCTACTTTTCGACTTTAACATGACTATTGAGTCACCCACCTGCGAGCTGTCATTCAAATTCTTCTTTATTATGTCGGACCTGGTACACACACACACACACACACACACACACACACACACACACACACACACACACACACACACACACACACACACACACACACACACACACACACACACACACACACACACCACACACACACACACACACACACACACACACACACACACACACACACACACACACACACACACACACACACACACACACACACACACACACACACACACACACACACACACACACACACACACACACACACACACACACATTTTTATTGTGTTCAATATGTTCATAATTATTGTGTTCAATATGTTGTTAATAAAAAAATAAGGTTTCTTTTTCCTGCATTTCAACAGCATTTTTAATAACAAAATTATTGGCAAACATTAGGGCATATTTAGCAGATATTCCATACTGCACTAATAACATTTATCCACACATAGGGAAACACATTTTGTAAAATTATGCATCAATATTAAATAATGTCACTCATATGCTGTTGCTAATGCAGGTTTTGCTTTGCCTTCAATGTAGCCTAGAAAAGCAAAAGGCACTGGTAATTGGTACTCCCAGTTTACTGGGATGGGGTTCGATTCCCTGCGGTGTCCTGCTGGTTTCTTTGGCATGTACATTAAAGATCATATTATTTACTACTATAATAATGATAATTATCAAAGTATTACTAATTAGTATCTCATACAACTGACACAAGCTTCCAAAAACTCTCAAAACTGTCAAGAAATATCAATAAAATAAGTATAAAATAGGAATAACATGCAATTCAGTTATAAGCTATATTACAAAGTTGGGTCTTGGGTCTGCTCTTAAAAGTATGAAACTTTGTGCTGGTATAGTTGGGAGGGCACATTGGGGAGGGCGAAGTTCATTTTTATTGTGTTCAATATGTTGTTAATACAAAAATAAGGTTTGTATTTCCTGCATTACAACAGCATTTCTAATTAGAAAATGTTTTATTGGCAAACATGAGGGCATATTTAGCAGCTAATCCATACTGCACTCATGAAATAGTTATGGACTTATAGGGAAATAAATGTTGGGAAGTTGCAGTGGTAGTATTTACCATAATGTGAAGTATGTGGCCATTGGGATTGTTTTCCTTTGAGATATGAGAAAACCGTGTTTCATGGCGAGCATTGTGTTGCCATGGCAACGGCATTTGAGGAAATCTCAAAACTGACACTAATATGTCTCGAGGGCTGTACCGTTAGCACACATGTGAAGTTTGAACACTTTTTGACAATTTACACAGGAGTTATAGCAATATCGTGCTTAATGGTGAGGGATGCGTTGCCATGGCAACAGCTTTTGAGTGTTGAGCTGTTGATGGCCGGACCATTAACTGTCATCTGAAGTGTGGTGCCGTCTGGACGTTTTTCCATTGAGTGAGGACAACACCGTGTTTCATGGCGAGGGATCTGCATTGCTATGGAAACGGCATATGATGACATCCCATAATTGGCGTAGAGCTGTTGAGGCATGGACCGGTGATATAAAAGTGAAGATTGGGGGACGATGGGACTGTGCCCATTGGATTTACAGCGACACCGTGTTTAATGGCGAGGGATGCGTTGCCATGGAAACGGCATATGATGACACCCCATAATACGCCTAGATGTGTTGAGGGCTGCATCGTTATCAAACCTGTGAAGTTTTGGGCCGTTTGGAGCATGTTAACTGGAGTTATGAGAAAACCGTGTTTCACTGCGACCATTTTGTTACCATAGCAACGACATTTGACAAAATCTCAAAACTGACACATATATGTGTCGAGGGCTTGACGGTTAGCACACATGGGAAATTTGAACACTTTTTTACCATTTACACAGGAGTTATAGCAATATCGTGCTTAACGGCGAGGGATACGTTGCCATGGCAACAGCTTTTGAGGAAAACTCACTATTGTCATATTGAGGTGTTGAGGGCCGGACCATTAACTGTCATCTGAAGTCTGGTGCAGTTTGGACCATTTTCCATCGAGTTATGACAACACTGTGTTTCATGGCGAGGGATCTGTCGCCATGGCAACGGCATATGATGACATCCCATAATTGGCGTAGAGCTGTTGAGGGCCGGACCATTAACTGTCATCTGAAGTCGGGTGCCATTTGGAGGATTTTCATAGGAGTAACGGAAACATATTTTTTTTTTTGGCGAGGGATGCGTTGCCATGGAAACGGCATATGATGACATCCCATAATTGGCATAGTGCTGTTGAGGGCCGGACCATTAATGATAGTCTGAAGTCTGGTGCCGTTTGGACCATTTTCCATTGACTTCATTGTGTTTTACGGCGAGGGATGTGTTGCCATGGAAACAGCATATGGTGAGATCTCAGATTTCACGTAGAGCTGTTGAGGCATAGACCGGTGATATAAAAGTGAAGATTGGGGGACGATGGGACCGTGTCCATTGGAGTTACAGCGACACCGTGTTTTATGGCGAGGGATGCGTTGCCATGGTAACGCCATATTAAGTAACATCACATTTGACGTAGAGCTGTTCAGGGCCGCAGTGTTAACCATCATGTGAAGTTTGGTGGATAAATCGCGTTTTTTCGACGCCAAATTCAAAATGGCTGTCTTCCTGTACGTTATTTTACACCCCTCCAAGAGGCTTTTTGGTTTGTCTCTGCACCCTAGATATGCGTAGCGAGGTTTAGTTCGTTTACGTGAAAGTTAAAGTGGGGGAGTTTACTTTAAAAACGGAAGTGGGCGTGGCCTACGCAATTTTTGACGCAAAGTTCCGGAACCAATTACGGTACGTCTACACAGCAGCGTTAAAAAAATCTTGGAGGTGGGCGTATCTGAAGCTTGAGGATTTTTTGCGAGCAACCAATCACATGAATCTCCCGCCCGCGACATACAAAGCAAAAAAGCCCGAAGTAAACTGGATATAAACTCCCCAAAACAGGCGAAAACATACCACTGTCTCTGCCACCTCCCTCCATGCCTGGCTCCTCTGGTTTATATCCCGGTAGGTCTGGTCATAAAGCACCGGGTGATTGATTCGCTACCGCTAATTTCTCCTCCATTTTTTGGAATATGAGGAAATGACCTGCGGTGTCTCTCCCAGCATACACGCCGTTTGATTGGCTAGAGCTTGAACTGTCAGATTTGCGTACACGGGATTTGATTGGCTGACGCTTCCACCTCAGCCTCAAAAGTTGAACATTGTTCAACTTTGAATCCTCAAAATCCTGAAAATCTCCGCTCGCCTGCCCACAATCCATTTCGGCGAAAAGTGAGGGAAAGTGACGTCACCCCATTCAAAGTGAATGGGCAGAAGCGTTTCAAGATTTTTTTAACGCTTCTGTGTAGACGTTCCGTTACACATCTGAAGTTGCACCACTTCTGACGCGCGTGCACAATTTGGTGAGTTTTCACATATGTTGCGGGGGTCAAAGGTTTATCGGTCGCGCAGCGACCGATTTCAATAGGGTCTTCGCCGACCTAGGTCTCAGACCCTAATTAAAGCTGCAAGCAGCGTTGAGCGGGTCTTCGACGCTCCGCAGGCTGTTGTCCGCACGTCGACGTGTCACGCAGGAGTTTTCTGGACTCGGCCGTTGGGCGACTAAATTGATCGTAACGATATTAATTATGCGAGTTGCAGTCACGTGGGCTCGCGCGGACTATCTGCCGTCATGATTTCCGAACCTTTTCTGTGCTTTTGCCGGTCGTTTTCCCTGTTTTAGGTGTGTTTCGCAGGCTGCGCGACCGATTTCAATAGGGTCTTCGCCGACCTAGGTCTCAGACCCTAATAAAAGAAGCCTCCCGTGAGTTACTACAAGCTATAAACAGGGGTGCAAAGGTCAAATGTTTCTCAGCAGAAAGTTAACCATCCAGTTCAGCAGTTGATATGGGAGCACCAAAAACTGAAGTTCAGGAAAGAGCCAACGCAAAATACTTCTCCGCTCATGTCTTCTGCTTTAATTCCCCACAGCTTCCAATAAATAGTTTAAAAAGTTGTTTAGAATGAGTATGATGCTTTAAACCAAAGTGTTAATGACTGAAAACCCTTGTTAACATTCAGTCATGTGATTTTTTTTTTAAAAACAAACAGTTATCAGAATCAGAATCAGAATATAATTATCATACCAGTATATGCACTTGGCTACCAAAACATGAATAGAGTGTGGTT